ATATGGAAGAAAAGAGGATAAGATCTGATATTTCATTCAGAGAACTCTGGATTCAAATATTTCCATCTCATTATAGGTCAGCTATATCTATGTTATGTGAATCCAAAAAAAAAAAAATCCTCACTTAAATATATATCTGACTAAAATATGTTCATTTTTCAAACAACTTCAACAGGTGACAAAAAGTCAGTCAGTCTTCCAGTTCTTCACCTCATTGTTTATTAGGTACAATGATATTTATAACAGAGATGATAGAAATTATCAAAATACACTATCAAATTGCATTAAAATATCCCTCTCTTGTAAATCCCTAAAATAATCCCTAAGAGTATTGACTCTAATATGTCACCTTGATAACAATGCTAGGATGGAACAATTAGTAGAGTGATTCCGTTTAAAAGGAATGCAGAATAAAATGATCGCAGAATAATTAAAAACCAAATTGCTAGAAACCCAAGGCAAGCACGGAAAGGTAGGAATATCAAAATGAAGCCTACTATTATATTAGTGATGGGTCATTTTGGAAAAACAAATGTTCATTTGTTAATTTGAATTCCCATCATAAAGCACCTTATTGTTCATTGATAGGATCTTTACAAAGGTCCCATCTTTGCACAGAGAGCCTGGCATGGTTCCCAAGCACCATTCCTTCCTTGAGATTCCTATCAAAATAGGAACAATGGCAAGACTTGATTCAAATCTTACCCAGAATTGGGCAGAGGTGAGTACTGTAAAGTCATTGAAGGTTGACTTTCATGAGATTTATTTCAAAGTCTGGTCTATGGGAAATAAAGTCAATTGGATGTTATATCTCCTGTGCTCAAGGACTATACCAAAATTGTGAGGGGTGATTGAATCCGAAAAACATATTGGGCCATCAGGAAGTTTGAGAAACAATTAATCTAGTCATGGCTAGACTACTCCATAAGAGTTTTAAGCAACAGTTTTAAGAGACATGTAAGAGAAGCTAAATTAGTAGCTACTGACCCTTAAAATGTACATATGGGTTTACGTTGAAAATCCAGGCGATAAAGGGGAGATGTTACTTTTAAAAATGGTGGAAAAAATAATAGTATTCTTTCTCATAAGACCATATGTTTAAGAGAAAGTTGATGGACCATTTTGGGCTACTAGGAACCTAGTTTTAGAATTAAAAAAAAAAAAAATGTTGCTGGCTCTTTCGACATTGTTTACTGAAGAGGAAAACTGTCACCTGAATACCTGGTCCATTCAAGGGCTTATGAACAGCAACTGGCAAATATGGTAAAGTTTTTACAGCCTGAATCTGTACAAACAGGACAAACTTGAAAAACCTGGATCAGATACATGGTGGCTCAAAAACAATCAAGGCCCAAAAGTGCTGAACAGACGTATCAATGATGTCAATTTCTTAGGAGGTTGATAAATCACACTCGGGTCACTTATGTTCCGTATAAGTCCAGCATCACCTGCAGAATTCCAAAGACCCTGAGCCTAATGTGGACTTGGCAGCTTGATGATGGCTGGAAAGGAGTCAACAGCTGTCACCATCAACCCAACTGAAATGTGGGAACAAAAAGATACAGGGGAGTCCTCTATCTAGAGTCCTAACAATGAAGTTGCCCTTCTTGTCAGCCCAGGGCTAGAATGAAGATGATTTTAATTTAAATGTAATGTGCTTGTTCTTCAAATATTAGACTCTCCTCATGTCCTAAAATAACTTGCAGTTTTTCCAACTGTGGGTCATGACTCATTAGTGACTCATGTCATAAATTTAGTGAGTTTATAATCAGCATTATTGAAATGACTAAAAAAAGTATGAAGTAGAGAAAAATATCAGGCTATATTGTACATGGTAATGAAACATTTTATAATTGTGGGTGTGTGTGTATGACAGCAAGAGAGAGAATGTGGGAGTGACGATACATGTAGTAAGTTGAGGAATGCAAAAAGTCCCTTTGCCCTTAAATGTCTTTTCCACAGTTCCACAAAAGTGCCTGAAATTCAACAATAAAGTTTTATTTCTCTAGCATTTAAGAATGTAGAATTCAATATTTTATACTTTCTTTAATAAAATCAAAAGTACGTAAACTTGAGTTGAAAAATTCTTGCATGGATATTAAGGAGGGTGGCATTATAAGGTTTTCTTTTTACTTAAACTAAAAAGAGAAAACAAAAAAGTAAACGGACTCCTCTAACGTGGTTGTATTAAATTAAGGTTAGTCTTTAAAGAACTTAATGCTAGTTCAGATATTGTCATGGCAGTATAAAAGATACTGTTATCAAAATAAATGTTAATTGCTATGATAAAAAGAAAAAAAAGATTTCTATCTCTATGTTATGAAGATTTTGGGGATTTAAGAGCACCCAATTAAAGTAAGATGCACCTGGGAAGAATAACATCTTAAATTTCATCAGCCAAGGCTGATAGTTATCTGTGAGCAGAGGCCAGATGAACAGAGCATATGATGGGCACTTGTGTGATAGGGGAATGTGCTGAGAGAAGACAAGGCAAGACCACAGAGATCCTGCACCCTTCATGTTAGCATAGGTTGCTTTTGGCTACCTTAAAATTCAATAAGAAGCATACAAAGACCAAAGTTTATTGGTGGCTACCTGGGGCAGGCAGGAAGGAAGGGGAAAGGGAGACGCACTACTTAGGAGATACTGCGCTTCTGTTAAGGGTGATGAGAAAATCTGGAAACGGATAGTAGTGTTGGTTGAACAACATGGTGAATGTGATTAATGTCATTGAACTGTACATGTGAAAAATGAAATGGCAAGTGTTTTGTTACACATATATTTACCAAAAAAAAAAAAGAATTATGAACATCCTGTTTTATTATTCTCTATATTTCAGTTTGTACTGGCCAAGTACACTCCCAGACACAGTGGAGAAAGGTCTTTTTGGGGCCCTTAATTTCCACAAGTTACAACTTTCAGGGGACTTTGTAGTCACTCATCCTGGGTAATAGAAAGAATTGTAATGAACATTTAGATCAATGACCCTTAAATCTCCTTATACCTTAGAATCACATAGGAAGTTTTAAAAATTATATATGTCTGGGTTTAACCACAGAGATTGAATTTCAAATGGTTTGGTATTGGGACTCAGGCTGTTTTTTTCAAACTTCCTCAGCTGATTCTACTATGGAGATGGGTTTGAGACTCACTCAAGACCTACCACACATATGATTCCTTTATCTCCTTCATTATATACTGAGTGTTTTGTTATATTTTTACCAGTACTCAGTTGCTGTAGAGTCAACTCCAACCCATTGTGACCCCATATGTGTCAGAGTAGAAATGAGCTCTGATTTTTTTGGAAGTAGATAGCCAGGCCTTTCTTCCAAGGTACCTCCTGTTGGATTTGAACCTTCAACTTTTCAGTTAGCAGTTGAGCATGTTAACCATGTGTACCACCCAAGATCTCTGTTCTACTTTTAAAAACCTATAATTTCAACAATGTTCTTACTTAAATTAAGCAGGAATCTGTCTCCCCTTAGACCAAACTGTTAGTCATTTTTTTTCTACTTTGCCCTTCCCTAAATATCCTCAAACCACACTCCCTTATGTCATTCCTTCAGTATCGGCACACATAGGCAAACACAGCCCGTGACCTACAACATACACTTATTAAATGTTAATGGCCAACGACACTGTTGTGGTTGTATTATCATTATACTATTCGGGAACAAAGCAAAGATAATTGTTAATAACAAAATTATCAAAGCAATCTTGCCAAGATCATGTCAAAGTTGTACAATAAACACTATGTATTGATAATCTGGAAAAAGGCAGATGATTGTTTTGTGTTTCACTCACTTATTACCTCCTATAATGCAATATAAACAACTCATGTGAAAAAAGTGCCACAGGCAAGTTCTGGTGGGATTTGACAAAACAGACCTGCCTTTCCTATTTAAAAACAACACCATTATGAATTATGGAAGAACTTTTCTTTGGCATTCAAAAGCTCCTGCACACAGGTAAAAAAACAAATAAAAGCATGGATAACACTTCTTCTTAAGTTTGGATGCTAATGCGTAAAGTTTAGTCCTTACAGAAAAAGCAAAGGTAAAAAGGTAAATTGGAAGAAAAAAAGGTAGTTTCTAGGAATATATTTCCACTTCTGTCTCTCTACCTGGAAAAAACGTGTTGTTGTCAAGTCAACGTCAACTCATAGTGACCCTATAGGACAGAGTAGAACCGCCCCATAGAGTTTCCAAGGAGTACCTTGTAGATTTGAACTGCTGACCTTTTGGTTAGCAGCCGCAGCACCTAACCACTACACCACCAGAGTTTCCATCTCTATACCTGTGGTTAACTTTAACTTCTCTGTAACTCAGTTTATCCACCCATAAAGCCATTAAATTTCACTCTGCTTTAAGAGATGTCTACTGGGAGTCCTGGTGGTGAAGTGGTTAAGAGCTCAGGCTGCTAACAAAAAGGTCGGCAGTTCAAATCCATCAGCTGCTCCTTGGAAACCCTATGGGGCAGTTTTACTCTCTCCTATATGGTCGCTATGAGTCGGAATCAACTCAGTGGCACACAACAACTAGGATTAAGACAATGTGCTTGCAGGCTTAGTATCATGCCTAGACACTTGGAAACTCCTCATAAAAGGATTATTATTTATCCTGTAGATCATGTTTCACTGAATTATAACAAGCTAAACAAGATTTAGCTGAACTTTGAAATAAACAATAATAAAAATGACAATAGCATGTCCAGTTTTTTGTTGCTGTTATTTAGGGAATACTTTATCACGTACATAAATCTTCCACTGTTCTTCCCTAGTATTGTCAAGATTAGTAAATTATGGGACATTTTATGAATTATCTAAACCTTATATTGTATAATTTAATCATTATAATAGAGATTAATTGGAAAATTCAGAACTATCTGTTAACTGTCCTGCTTAGTAGCATAGACAAAATAAAGCAGCCTAAATCTCACAAGCCTGAGCTTCAAAGAATTGCCAGCACTTCATCATTATTTTGCGGAGCTGAAAGTCATACCTTCAACTAAGGAAGTGAGGAGGGTCACGTTGGCTGCTTTCCGTCTTCCTGCTGGCAAGTTCAGGCCCAATCTATCCAGTTTCTCTCTCAGGCAGCGGCCTCCATTCTTAGATTTTGCTCTGTCCAAAACCAAATAAAAACTGGGATTTGAAAGTTCACATTCTGAAGAAAATCATGAGAACACTTGACCACATGGGGAATTCCACGTAGGATGGAACACATAAGGGCTGAAGGCCGAGGAGTGTGTATCAATACAGTCAGAAGACCCACAATGCCAGAAAACCAATTTTTCTCACCTTCTCAAAATGCCTCCTAAGAGTGATGCATTGAGGCATTCAGGCGGAGAGAGGCGTCTCTTTACCTCAGCAATGGTCACCTTGTATTTGGAAGTAGAACTGAGAAGGGACAAACGACCAGGGACAGAGCAAAACAAGTCTGTGGGGTTGACCACACAGGTGCCACCTTGGAAGGAAAAAGCATAGACATATTAGTGACAATGAGAGAAGATAAATTCATTAGACAAACAGTTAATATCAAGGTGCCTCCCGGATCTGGGAACGCATGACAACAATTGCACTTATACATCACCAGATCTTCTCAGAAAGCTGCTCTGAAGATGATCCTTTCAAATAACACACAGGGTTTTGTCTTTCAAATAGCACATAGAAAATGTTTGTGAGGAGATCATTGTAATTTTAGAGAAAATTGGCATCCCATAGAGTGTTAAAAAAACAAACAAAAACCCAAACCTGTTGCCCTCTAGTTGATTCTGACTCATAGCGATCCTATCGGACAGAGTAGAACTGCCCCATTGGATTTTCAAGGAATGGCTGGTGGATTCAAACTGCCAACCTTTTTGTTAGCAGCTGTAGCTCACTTAGCTCTTAACTACTGCGGCATCAGGGCTCCTCATAGAGTGTTACCAAAAAACCAAACCCGTTACTGTCAAGTAGATTCTGACTCATAGCGACCCTATAGGACAGAGTAGAACTGCCCCATAGGGTTTCCAAAGAGAGACTGGTGGATTTGAACTGGCAACCTTTTGGTTAGCAGCTGTAGCTCTTAACCACTATACCACCAGGGTTTCCCACAGAGTGTTAGCAGGCCCCAAAACCAAACCAAAACAAAACGTAGTGCAGTCAAGTCAGTTTCAACTTACAGCGATCCTGTAGGACAGAGTAGAACTATCCCAGAGGGTTTCCAAGGCTGTAATCTTTACAGAAGCAGACTGCCACATCTTTCTCCTGTGGAGCAGCTGGTGGGTTCAAACCACTGACCTTTCAGTTATCAGCTTAGTGTTTCAACACTGTGCCATCAGGTCTCCTTTAGAAGGCCCACCAGTGTTAATTTCTACGTCATTCACACCAAGAAATACTTCAATTAAAAACCCCAAACTTCCCCAGTTAACCCCACAAAGGGTAGGTATTATGGATAGATACCTATACACACAAAATGGGTAGATTTTTTTTATCTAGAATTTACCATATAGATCAAAGTTTTGAGGGCCTGCCACCAGAATGTTTGAGAACTGCCATCCCCTTTCCCTCAAGCATCTATCAACTAAAGGCATCACAGGCACCCAAACAATACACAGACACCACTAAAAATAATTTACTCATCACCAGAAGCTTCAGAACGTTCAGGCAAGCAGTCCTTACTGGGACTCCTGGAGCAGAAGCCTTCTATCTCTGAAGTTCAGAAAGCCCCTTGAGCTTTTACATTGTCCAGGAACAAGGGAGTGTAGTCAGTCCTTAACTTTAGGCAGCCGATGACTGAAGTGAACATGAAGATCTAAGGGTGATCACTGTGAAGGAGAGTGTCCTGCTGCCCAATTCCTTCCTCACAGCGAAAACCCTGAGCCAGTGTCCACGCTGCTAACATGGTGGCCCTGGAGCCCTGAGATCTAAGGCTGCTTCACCAGGCATCGAGAAATCTGAGGACAGAGTTTTTGTGGGTTCAATGGCAAGTTCAAATTCAAAGCTTGCTCTTCTGATCATACATTTGATTTCATCAGTTAAGGGTGATCTGAAGACTTACCTCCAGAAAATGGGTAAAGTTCTATGAGGGAAAATAGAAAATAAGTAGGTGGGGGAAGACAAATGGGCAGGGGAGTGTTATCTAAAGCCTTTTTCCTTAAAGTATGGTCTTCAAATGGCAGCATCAGCATCTCCTAGGAACTTGTCAGAAATACAAAATCTCTGGCCCAACCTCAGACCTTCAGAGTCAGAATAAACGATTTTAATAAGAGCCTCAGGTGGTTCATCTGCAAGTTTGAGAAGTCCTGGTCTAGGACTCACCACTGGCCTCCCAGGTAGCTCCTTCCCTCCTTTTCTAAGAGGTTCAGATGGAATCTGTCAGTGCAACCTCTGCCATTCCTTTGAGTGTGTTTCCTGGGCACAGTGGCTAAGAAACCTGGAAAGATGTTTAAAATGGCAATGGGGTCCTGGGCCTAGGCAGAGAGAACATGTTAACCTTGCCTCATTCTTAAAGTATTTCTACCCTTGGATTTTCTGGAATTCCTCCTGGCAGGCTGGGGTCACCCAACTTCCCTATGAAAGTGCTGGGAACCAAGGTCTTCCTCCCTAAGCATTCTGAGGTCCATGATTGCCTCTAATGCCTGAAAAACAGCAGACAGAATAGAGAGAACATCAGAGCAGTCAGTTCTCTGTAGGCTGGAAGATGGGTCCTGTATACTCTGGCCAAATTCCTGATGCTAGTGCCTGGAAATATGTCCTGACTTTGAAATCTGAGAGGTTATAATCTCAACTGTCAGATTGAAATCCTTTTCTTGGCATCAAACTTGTAGTCAATATTCTGTGCATGGACAGCCGTGCTAACACCGGCCTGGGGAGCTGGAAACACAAAGTTGCGTGTGCTTCCCCACCTCGCATTCCCAGAAAGAATTTTAAACCCCTCCCCCCAATAAAGTGTTCCCAGATTCCTGTGCCTGAGGCTACCATTCCACTTTTGCTGATGCGCTCAGTATCTACAGATGCAAAGTGCATTTTAAAAAATAAACTCTTAAGTAACTTCTTAGAAGTTGAGACGAACAGGAAAGCAAGCTAGATATCAATGAATCTGGGTTTTAGAGTGATATTGTAGGATCATGACCCTGATTATTTTAGGATTTGGATCACTGTGAAGTCAGTCTGTAGCAAGAATATTAAACAAGAAAATCATAATGTCTATATCCAAAAATCACACAGCTCTCTCCTGAAAAGGGGCTTCCACTCACATTTTCTATGAGTCGTAGCAAATGTATATTCTTACATAAGCCCGCATCCCCACCCCACACACTAGCAAGTACATAACTGAGGACACTAGGAATCTTACTCATTATGAGTGAGAGAAGAGAGTGTTTGAGTATGTATACATATTATTTTTGTGGCTGCTAAAGGAAGGGTGGCCCTGGGTGGCATAAACCATTAAGAACTTGGCTACTAACAGAGAGGCTGGTTGTCCAGGTTGGAGGTTCGAGTCCACCCAAAGGCACCTCAGAAGAAAGGCCTGTTGATCTAATTCTGAAAAATCAGCCATTGAAAACCCTATGAAGCACAGTTCTACTCTGAAACTCACGGGGTTGCGATGAGTTGGAATTGACTTGTCGGCAACTGTTTTGGTTTTTGAAAGGAAAGGAAGGACACAATTTTAGATCTTTCCTATATTTATTAATCTTCAGTGGGTTAAAAACGTAATTTAGAGAGATGCAAAAGATTATTATTTTTGTAAAATAAGGAGTTAAATCAGTCTCTCCCAGTTTCCATTGGAAAATTGCTCCTTTTTGGCAAACTGAACCCCATCTGCTGAAAGCCAGCTGCTCCCAGGGAAGCCACGGAGTCTGCTGCCTCATCACTTGCAACTCCCTGGGCCCTTGGCCTTTCTCTCCTGCATCCAGGTTGGGCTTCTGGCTCACGCTCAAATGGGCATTTATTAGGTAAGTTACACAGGCTGCATATTAAGAGTATGCTTTATGCACACACAAACTGCCTGGAGGATTTATTTTGTATTCAGGATTAGCCATCAACTCTAGAGTCTTTTATTTTTTATGTCACAGCATCTTTAAAGGGAATTTCTGTTGCTTTGATACTTGGCATTGCTGCAGCCTTGGGGAACTCTCTCATCCTGGCTAAAGATTTGGCAACTTGTAGAGTATACAGCAACATGGGGGAACATGGTCTCTCTCTCCCCAGTGGTTTATTTTTGGGTGGAGGTAGAAAGGGTAATAGGTCAACATAACCAGAATTTTGCATTTGGAATGAAGGAGGTAGGACTTCTTTAAGGGGCTCTAGACCACAGATGGCAACGATGAGATCTCAAAGACAGAAAGTTATGAAACAGCCAACCACACCAGGCTGGTCACAGTATTTTATCCCTGTGTTACTAGTTGAAGTTCCTCATGGCTCCTGTGAGGCATTTCAGCTCTTAATGAAATTCTAGACTCTGCATTCCAGTTCATGGTGTCTCTGGTTGCACAGCCAGGGGCCTTATTGCAGAACTGCTCCAGAGTTTATCTGTTTCCCATTCCTAGTGTTTCCCATTCCATGCAGGTCACTATTTTAAAACTGGAATTTGGAGATATTTCCAGTGATGCTGCAAACCCAGGTGGGTAGCTATGGTAACAGTGAAAGAAGTCAGGGACTAGCTACTGACTGTATAGGAGATAAAAACCCGTTGCTGTGGAGTCTTTGACTCATAGCAACCCTATAGGACAGAGTAGAACTGCCCCATAGGGTTTCCAAGCATGTAATCTTTACAGAAGCAGACTGCCACATCTTTCTCCCGCAGAGTTGTTGGTGGGTTCAAACTGCTGACCTTTCCGTTAGCAGCCGAGCGCTTAATTACTACGCCACGAGGGCCTCTATTGTATAAGAGATAGCTATCATAAAAAATAAATTTGTCGCAGCTGCAGGAATAAGTCAGCCAAATACTTACAGTGGGTGTGATAAATCCAGGCACAAATGCATAGATGCAGATCCGCCAGCTGCCAGATCTTGTTAGATTCTATGCGGGCAGAAACGGCACGGGTTGGGGCTATTATCTTCTTGGTGTGGCTGGGGATTTCTGGCTCTATGTCTGCAGGCACGGTGTGGGTTACTGGAAAAAGTTCTGGGCCACAAATGAGAGCGTGGCCCACTACCGACCCACGCAACCTTGGGCGAATCACTTCACTCCTTTGGGCCTCAGTCTGTACATCTGAAAAATGGGCATGCTCAGACCTTCTCTGCTTGTTTTTCCAGTTTGTGAGCAAGCGCAACGGGGAATGGACGCATGGGTGCTCACCACCTGGAAAAGGCCACCCAACCCCGCCATTGTGTTGAACAACTGCTACGTCGCAGGATGAGAGCTGTGGGGCGCGGCAAGCCCCCTACCTACCATTTGCGCTGCATCGGATAGGAAAGCCCAGCGCGGACGCCCAAATGAGCTTTTCCTCCTCTCATCCCGGGCAATTAGGGCAGAGGAAA